CGAGAGCCAATCAGGGGGCGGCTGCCCGCACGTGGAGCCGAGGGGACTCAAGAGCGCCGCGGCCGCAGCTCACTCCCCCCGTGACGGGCGTCCCGGCGGCACCGGGGGGCGTCCGCGCCGCCGCCGCCATGAGCGGCCCTTACCCCGAGGAGAGCTGCGCCGAGCGCCCCGACTGCAAGAGCAAATCGCCTACGCTGCTCTCCTCCTACTGCATCGACAGCATCCTGGGCCGCCGCAGCCCCTGCAAGGTGCGGCTGCTGGGCGCAGCTCCCAGCCTGCCCGCGGGGGCCGCCCGCTCAGAGCCCCCCGACGGCGCCGCGCAAGGTGAGCCCCGCGCCGGGCCGAGCGTCCTGACCCGGGTGGGAGCCGGGGGGAGAGGGGCTGCGGCGAGGCCGGGGGGGTGCCCGTAGGCTGTCTCGGTACCGCACGGATCCCTCGCATCCAAAATTCCCCCCCAAAAAACGGGAAAACGGGAATTTCTCGGGAGGGTTTATAAAACGCAGAGCGGACGAGCTCCAGGCCACGGGATAGCAGTAGCCCCGGGGCCGTTGCGGCCTCCGCACCTGGGGCAGCTCCGGACCGGGCGGGACTCTACGGACCATGCGAGGTGATTTCAGCCCCGCGCTCCCCGCGCTGACCGCGTCTCTCTCTTTCTCTCCCCCCCGCACCCTCTCTCCTCGCCGCAGGCTCCCCGAAGAGCAGCCCCCCCTTCGAGCCGGCCGAGCTGCACTTGCCCCCCAAGCTGCGTCGGCTGTACGGGCCGGGCGGCGGGCGGCTGCTGCCGTCGGGGCCGCGCGGGGAGCGGCCGGAAGGGCGGCCGGAGGGAGGCGCCGGGGCCGGGGCGGCGGCCGGGGCAGGGGCAGGTCCCGCGCCGTGGGACACGCTGAAGATCAGCCACGCGCCGCAGGTTAGCATCAGCCGCAGCAAGAGCTACCGCGAGAACGCGCCCTTCGCGCCGCCGCCGCCCGCCCGTGACGAACCGGGGAGCGGAGCCCCGCACGTCGAGGAGCGGCCCGGCCCCGCCGCGCCGGCCGCCGGGGAGGAGGAGGAGGACGAGGAGATGCTGGAGGAGGAGGAGGACGAGGAAGAAGAGGAGCTGGAGGAGGACGACGAGGAGGAGCTGCTGGGCGAGGACGGCGGGGGGCTGCTGGAGGAGGCCCGCCGGGGCGCAGGAACGGCGCCGGGGGCGGAGGGCGGGGGGCTGTCCCCCAAAGAGGAGCTGCTGCTGCCGCCCGAGGACGGCGAGGGCAAGGACGGCGAAGAGAGCGTGTGTCTGTCGGCCGGCAGCGACTCCGAGGAGGGGCTGCTCAAGAGGAAGCAGCGCCGCTACCGCACCACGTTCACCAGCTACCAGCTGGAGGAGCTGGAGAGGGCCTTCCAGAAAACGCACTACCCCGACGTCTTCACCAGGTACCGGCACCGCCGGGGCAGCGCGGGGCGGGGGGACCGAGGCGGGGAGGGAGAGCCCTCGGGGCTATTTTTACGCCGACGCAGGGCCCGGATCGGGTTCGCGCTCCCCGCGCGGGTCGGAGCGGGGCGGCCCCGCGGGGCTCGGATCAAAGCGCCGCCGGTAAAAATAGCGCCCGGCGCGGCCCCTCCCGGGGCCCCGGGGAAGGGAGGGGGGAACCGGGGGCCGCCCGGCTGCGGGGAAGGCAGGGGGGTACGGACGCGGCCCTGTCCCGCCGCGTCCGAAGGGGCATCGCGGATTTCTCGTTCGTTTTGTAGGAAGGGCGCGGAGGGTCCCGCGGGGGGGATCCACTGCCGGCATCGCCCCGGGTCCCGCGCCGCAGGCGGAGCTGAACGCTTCGGCGTCGCCCCGTTCGTTTGGGTTTCATTGCAATTTTACTTTACCCGTCCCGGCGAAATGCCGCGGGGCTGCGGAGCCGGGAGCGCTTCGCTGGCGGCGAAGTGGCTCCCGATACGCGCTAATTGCGGGCGGCGGGCGTAGGGCCGGGTGCGGGCTGCTCGGTGCCGGCTCTGACGCGCTGTCCCCGCAGGGAGGAGCTGGCCATGCGGCTCGACCTGACCGAAGCCCGAGTGCAGGTGAGTGAGAGGCGGCCGCGCTCGGCGGGACGGGGCCGGGCCGTCCTCGCGCCCCCGACGGAGCCCCTGCGGCCGAGCGGTGAGAAGGAGGGGCCGGCGTCGCCAGCAGGGCTCCGTAAAAGCGCACTTAGCGCTGAACAAACGCGGCCGTCGGGAGGCGGAGTGCCGGTTACTTCCCGCCGCCCGCCGAGGAGCCGCTTAACGCCGTCCGATCGCCCATTTTTGATAGCGACGAGCCGCGCGGCTTTAATGGCGGGCGCGATGCCATTAGAGGTGTTTGCGCCCCATTCCAGAGTGCATCGCCCGGCCCGCGCCTCACCGCCACGGCGACGACAAACACGGGGCGGCCGCTGCCAGCGGCGAACAGATGGCCCCGGCCGCGGCCGCGCGAATCACTCTACAGTTAAAATCGGGCGCTGATAACGCGCCATAAATTCCATATGGCTCATCGGCTACGCGACGGCCCCGCGCATTAGCGGCGCTGAGACGGGCCCCGCGCTGTGTTGACACATCGCTCCATCGTCACACAGCGCCGTGACGGCGGAGCCGCGCGTTCGGCCTGGGGGCACGCGGCGTGGGAAAGTTAAATAGCTCTGTCTGCGAAAGCCCCTCCGCCCGAGGGAGGGGCACGGGGAAGGGAATACGAATTAGCGGAGCCCCTCCGGCGGCGCTCGGCCTTCCTTCGGGCTCCCTGCCCGCGGGATGCCGCAGGGATCCCATCTGCAACGGGAGCGGTGCCGCCGTACCGAGGGAAGCGGCCGCGGGTGGGACGCGAAGGAGCGCCGGGAGCCTCGCCAGCTGCCGCAGCGGCACTTTCCTGCACTGTGCGAGAACCTCTCGTTCCTTTTTCCCGGCGGTGTTTTCTCCCCGCTGGGCTACAGCCCGGCTTGGCTCGGGGCTTTTACTTCTGGGGAAGGGGAGAAAAGAGGAAAGCGGCGGCAGAGTTCCGTATTGTCTCGTTTTGGAGAACGGTTCTGTTTCGTACCGTACAGAGCTGCGTGAAATACGGCCCCGAGGGCGGCCCGGGAGCTCCGCCCGCGCTGCGGGCGCTGCATAAATTCCGTTGCTGCGCTGTGCGGCCACAATTTCGTTCTCCCTTAAACCGGAGGAGAGAGCGCGGCTGCTGCTGCCCGCGAGTGCTTCCTTGCAGCGGAACGCGTTCAGCGCCAATTCGTTCCGTGGGGAAATAATACCGCCGCAGCCGCGGGGCTTAGAGCGGGACTCGGCCCGGGCCCGGCGCAGTGCTAACGCCACTGTCTCTCTTGGCTTTGCAGGTATGGTTCCAGAACCGTAGGGCTAAGTGGCGGAAGAGGGAAAAGGCTGGGGCTCAGACACACCCCCCAGGTTTGCCTTTCCCTGGTCCCCTGTCCGCACCTCACCCCCTCACTCCGTACCTTGATGCTAGTCCTTTCCCTCCTCACCACCCAGCTCTAGACTCCGCCTGGACCGCCGCCGCCGCCGCCGCCGCGGCCGCCGCCTTCCCGGGCCTGCCGCCTCCTCCGCCCGGCTCCGCCGCGCTGCCCCCCGCCGGGACCCCGCTCGGCCTCGGCACCTTCCTGGGCGCGGCCGTGTTCCGGCACCCCGCCTTCATCAGCCCCGCCTTCGGCAGGTACCGGCCCGGCCGCGGCGCCCCTCCGCGGGGCGGAGCGCGGAGCGCGGATCGCGGAGCGGGGTCGCGCCGCGGAGCCCCTCCGAGGGGCCGCTCCGCCGTTCGAATCGGGGGCGCCGCCGATTGGGCGCCACGCGGGTCACGTGCCGCCGGCCCGGCCGCCGATTGGCCGAGGGCCGCGCGCACCGCGGGGCCGACGGACGGCGCGGTGCGTCCGCGCCGTCGGCGCGGCGCTGACGGCGCTCTGTGCTTCCTTCCTTGCAGGCTCTTCTCCACCGTGGCCCCGCTGGGCAGCGCGCCCGGCGCTGCCGCTCTCCTGCGGCAACCGGCGCCGGCGGCGGCCGAGGGCGCGGTGGGCGCGGGGCTGGGGGAGCCGGGCAGCGCCGCCGCCGACCGGCGCGCCTCCAGCATCGCGGCGCTGCGCCTGAAGGCCAAGGAGCACGCGGCGCAGCTGACGCAGCTCAACGTGCTGCCCGGCGGCGGAGCGGGGAAGGAGGTGTGCTGAGCCGCCGGGCGGCCAGGGCGGCCAGGGCGAGCGGAGCCAGACCGAACGGGAGTGTGAATAGTAATCGTAATTAAGAACGAGAATCGCGGGGAGAGGAAAGGAGAGGAGAGGAGAGGAGGACCGGCGGCGGAGCCCCGATAACGTTGTCCCGGCGGCAGCGCCGTGCGCCGCGTTTCCCCCCTCCGTCCGTCTCCGGTGCTAACGCCGAACGAAGAGCGGCGCCGGAGCGCGGCGAACCAAAGGGAACGGCACTGCCGGGGCGCGGGGCCGCGACTCTGTACATAGCGTTGTTATAAAAAAACGGAAAGGAAACCGACGCACTGCAGAGCTTTGTATATTTGAGATGACGATGTTATAAAGGCGTTGCACTCGGAGTCGCGGTGTGCGCGTCTGTGGCTGCGCGGGGCCGCGGGGGCCCGGGAGGCGGCGGCGCGGGGCGCTCCGTGCGCGGCGGGCGTTGCGACGGCGGGCGGGGGGGCGGCGAGGGGCGACCGGGTGTATTGAACAGCGAAGAGGAAAAAAGAGGGAAAAAAAAGGACACACACACATACAAAAAAAAAAAAAAAAAAAAAAAAAAACAACCCAAAAATGAAACCGCACAGCGCCGGAGGCGGCCGCACGCCGCGTTCGGGCGTCTCCGAGCGCCTTTCCCCCCCTTCATTCATTCCTCTTTTGTATTTATGTATCCCTCCTTTTTCTTATTTGCTTTTGTATCGTTTACTTTGTAGTAATTGCTCTTTTCTTTTTTTAATTATTATTTACTTTTAACGATTTCCCTTTTGTCTTTCATTTTGTTTTGTTTTTACTTTGAATTTTCGCTGTCTATTTTACTTTTCTTTCCTTCGGTGATATGCTCGAAAGCGGCCGCGGCCGTCGCAACCCGGGGCGGCTCCGCTGGGTTCTCCCGGCTCCCGTGCGAGCCCCGGGCAAAGCCCCGCACGCGGGCACACACGCGCACTGCAAACCCCGGCGCTACTGGGGGTCTCAAAAGCCACCACGAGCGCAATAATACCGATAACGATAATACCAATAAAATGTAATGGGGAAAGTCATGTTCGTTCCGTGGGCGTTTTTGGCGGCGCAGACCGAAACAACATCGTTTTGTTGTTGTTTGTTTTTTTGCTGTTGTCGTTGTTGTTGGTGGTGGTTTATTTTTTTTGCCATGCGGAAAAGCGGTTCGTCACGGAGCCGGCACGCAGTAAGAAACGCCATTCACCGCTCGGACTCCTCGAGCCGAAGCTCCGCTCACGGCAGAATCGCGCTTCTGCAGGCGGCAATTTTGCTAATCCGGGGGTTATTACGGCGGGCCCTCATTAGGATCGCGGCGCTGCCAAGCAATCCCATCACCGCCTGAAAAGAAGTTTACCCCGCGCCGTAGAGGCGGCGGCCGTATTTACCCCGCGCGGTCATTGGCGCACAGCTGCGGCGGCGTACGGAGCCCCGCGCAGCGCTGCGCTCCTCCGAAGTGCGGAGCGCTGAATGGAGCGGCTCCCCTCGCCCCGCCGCGGCCCCGGCGCTTTCTGCTCTCATCCAATTAGCGCGGTGTATTAAGCGGTTTATCATCTCATAGTCAGCTATTGAGAGAAACAAGGCGAACACTTTGCAATAGAGCCTGCTCTCCTTTGACACCCTCAGGTACTTACATATTCCACTGTGCTATGAATAATAGAGGAAGAATAGAGCGCTAATTCCCTCATCAAAGAGCGCCTTGTCTGCTGCTTTGCTCAACAACACCATTCCGATCAAAAGAAAAGCAATAAAGCTTAGCATAACAAAACGAAACCTACTTATTAGCTTAGTGGTTAAATTAATGCAGAGCCGTCGCTATTCAACGCCGAGGTTTGAAAACAGCCTCCAACCACCCCATAATGCTGCCGTCGGGATGGAGGAATTTTAATCTGAGCTGCGAGGCCGCCGCAGATGAGTTAATCTATTAAAGAGCGATGAGGAGGGCTCGCGGGGCCGCGCCATTCAGCGCAGCGAGCGGACGGCTCTGGCCCGGGACGCGGCGACTCTGCACCCCCCCTTCCCCCTCCCGCACCCCCCAGCGGCCCCCGCCCGGCCCGAGCGGACGCGGAGCCCCGGGGCCCGCCGGCGGTGCGCTGCCCCGGCGCCGCTCGAGGAACCCCGAAACACCCCGACGTGGGGAAAGGGCCCTTCCCCTCCCGACCCCCTGGCCGCTGCTTCTCTCGGCAGCGTTCCCCGGGCTCTCGTAAACATCCCTAAACTCCCAAATTAACAGGCTCTTCAGCCGTAATTATCCCGGTAGACACAAGTGCCGCGGGGTCACGGCTGCTTTTCCGAGCCGTTCTGCCCAGTTACCGTCATGGATATCTGCACGATCCTAATTGGGTCGAGCGCTACGAAACTACGAAAACCCAAGTCCGAGTGAAATTACGGCAGCGGTCCGGCAGGGAGCTGCAGCATCCCGGCGTCGCTTTGGGCCGCACGTTCCCGAGAAACCTCCCCGGGAGTCTCTCCGACAGCCCGGGCGTCACCTCGAGGGGCTGCGGCTGCCGGGCACGGCACCAGCATGCAAACGGATCGGCCGGGCGCCGTTTCTGGGAGGAGTCCGAAGGGTTTGGCACCAGAGCCGCTCCGGGAATTCGGGCACGCTCACGCCGCCGTCCCCCCCTCAGGTCCGCAGCACCACCCGGCGAGCTCGCAGCTCTCGCTCAGGGCTGAACGAAAGCCGTGCAGCCGCCGCACAGCCACGCACGGCCCTTCCGTGCCCAACGCTGACGCTCCGTGAGGCACACGGAAGGCTGCAAGCGGGCCCTTCCATCGGCCCCGGGCCGCAGCGATGCGGCCCCCGTGGGGAGCTGCCGGCAGTCAGGCAGACCGAGCCCAACGCTTTCACTAGAAAATTTTATTTTTTTTCCCATCAAGTGCTAAGAAGACTTTGCATTGTATACCGTCGATGATTTAAAAGAACGCTTTAATGACCTCACATTAATACATCGCATGGCAAACGTAACGGCAAACAAGAGTACAACGATATTTGGTGTACAAAAGCTCTTCCCAAATTTACTCTTTGTTCTTGTCGTGTGTTTATCGCTTTACTAAAAGTAAATGGAAAATACAATTTGTTCATAAAACCTTTAAAATCCCTGATACAGTAACTATTACAGAACAGCGACGACGATGCTCCTTCCTCCGCCATTAGCGCTTACAGTGCCATCCAAATACACATTGCCCAATCGACAGCTTGCGTTCAGACGCGGAAAGAAGTGACGTACATTTATTTTCTGCCTATGTACAGAACGTGTTTCACTCACGTATGTGTCTATACGTCCACATAAAACATTTCTAATCTGGCAAAACACCGTGCTTAGAGACGCCCCGTGAAGATACCAGAGACAAATTGGTCCTCTGTTCTTTGCGCCTCCAGGCTTCAATCGGTCTCTACCTCGTTTTGAAAGGAAAGCATCCCTACCTCGCTCCGAAGGACATTTAAAGGCATTTAGGTTTAGCATTGTTTTTAATTGGTATGTTTATGATCAGGAAGGAGATAAACTGTGAAAAGGCAAAACATTAGTGCTCCTACTGAGACCTCCACTAACCTCTCTTCCTGAGAGCACCTCTACTAAATACCCTGGAGCAAAGTCTAGGATCACTTACATTCCAGCAACTCTCACTGGGAATTATCCAATTAAAGCAGCAATTCCCCCACCCCCTTTTCCCTCATAGGTCTGAACACACAACAAAATACATTGTGAAAATCAACTGCTCCATGTTTTAATAACTCTGGCTTTTCGGTGGAGAAAAGAATCGGAGATAAAAACACCTCGAGTGTACCGCGTCCACGTGGACCATGCATCCCATTTTCATCTTTCATTCTTCCTCCACCAAACCAAAGATTATTAAAACTCTATTGTGCTTCCTGACACAGAGCACTGCTCAGGAGATCCTTATTTTTAAGCAAGTAGTTGGCCCCTCTGCTCCTTCCACGTTCCGTCCATCACTGTCTTTCACTGCTGGACTCTCCTACGGATCTTCCCATGCTGACAGAGAAGAGTTTGCCGAGGTTCACTTCCGAGTAGCCGCTCAGGGACAGGCATTTGTCTACTGTGCTCTTCAGTTTCCTGTAGGCCTCGATCACTTCCCTCCTGAGGGGCTTCCTCCTTACAAACTCTGACAGGACAAAGATAAAACAAGAGAGGAAGGTTAAATAAAGTGCTTTTGCATTCAATAATATTGTACATTGTGGTATTTTAATACAAAGAGAAAAGAGGACAAAGTTGTAGCTAGCATCCAAAGTCACCATTCACGGCAAGCTCTTCTGCTGCCTTCCCTACTATGAGGGCTAATGGAACTAACTGGCTGTGAAGAACCAGGTTCCTTAGCATGGAGAAAACTTCACAGAGTCCTTCAGGGTCTGACATGGGGTGAAATTCTGCCTACAGCCAAGCTTGGCTTCAGGTCAATCCAGGAAACCATGACTCCCACATTCATGCTACTGCTGGCATGGCATCGCCTGAGGTGAGCCCAACACTGATGCTACGGTCCCCAAACACACCCCACACACAGTGGGTTCCCAAACACACCCCTGTGTGTGCAGGACGGGAGCTGTGGGGCTCAGCACTATGGGGATACCCGGCCAGGAAAATTCCACACTGTGCTGCAAGCTAAAAAATGAAATGAAAACGCTCAGTATCTCAATGGGGATACATTGGGTTTACCTGACATACAAATGGAGATGTTAATTCCTACAACATATGATCAATAATACCTGGTGAAGAAATGTCTGAAGCACAAGACATTAATTGTGTGTGTGTGTGTGTGTGTACAAGCTCACGTGCACACACCTTAGCAGCACAACTACGAGTAGTTCTGGCTATATGTTATGCTGTCAGGCAACAAAGAGACCTCCACTCCCTTTCCCAGAGCTTTTACTGAGCAGCACAGGTTCAGATGGCAAACCAAACTTGACAGTAGTGAGGTTGGTTTGAGGGAAGGTGTGGGGCTGGGAGGAGGGACACGCTGACTGGTCTGCCCACGTGAGGGAGGTAACAAAGCACTTCTGCGCCCAACGGTGACAGAAGACTAAGCTGGGCCCGGGCGGGCAGGCCAGCAGATGGCATGTCCAAGGAGATGGGATCATGGGATAACTAATGGGGCAGCCTGTGCAGCCTGTGGCCGCCTCCAGCCCCAGCACAGGC